TTTTTTTTTTTTTTTTTTTTTTTTTTTTTAGTATTCAGCAAGTATCAAGGAAAACACTTTAAGTTCTGACTTGCTTCGATTTCAAGTAATAGATTTGGATGAAGAGTTCACAGATAATTGGCTTGCAGAGTATTTCTTTACCTCTGGAAATGATGGGAATTGGTTTGAAATACAAACTGATCCCATGACTAACGAAGGCATCTTGAAGGTGGTTCAGGTAAGGTCTGATTTCCCTTTAGTGGGAAAAATGTTCTGTATTAACCAAAACTATGACTATATTTTAACCAAAACTGTCATAAATAAACTTTATTCACTTATGAATAATAATACCACTTCTTTATAGAAAACGTAAAAAACACATAAAAGTAGATAGAATTTTGAAGACACACATAGCCCCATTACCTAAGGAAATTCTCTTAACATGTTGATTTGTTTCCTTCCAAGCTATCACACTTTCTATAGAAACACAAACACACTAATATACATATATTTATCGGTGTGCCTGTTTTATGCGCAAGAAAGTAAAACACACTTCCTGACTTAAACTCGGGAACAGACAAGAATACATGGAATAGCTGCTTGTGAATTTGCCAACTTACTTTAAATGGATTAGCTACGGTCCTCAGAGGGGGAAAAAATGTGACTTTTTCTAGAAAATGGAAATGTAAAAACTAAATCTGAAAAATAAAAAATAAATAACTGAGTAACACTTCCATTTAACAGGCTTGGCTACAATAGACCCTTCATCTGAAATAACATAAGGCTATTTATGCCTGGATATTGTATAGACTAGAAAAATATTACCACTATTTCAGGACATTCCTTGCCATAGAACATTGGACTATATGGGAGCTTCTCTCTTTAATTCTGTGACTCCAGTAGAATGACAGATCCATAATATTCCTTAACAGGGAGATCCCTGGAATTCTAGATTGTTGGAAGCCACATAAGTGGTTGCTATTACTCTGCTTTTCAGAGTGGGTTACAGCCATCCTCAGTTGCAAGGGTTTTGTTATAAACTCCCAACAATGCCGAGGAATGAGATATTCCCAGTCTTCTGTGTTGGTGTCATCCAGTCTCCCAAACTAGAAACCTGGGCCTTGTCCTTCAGTCGTGGCATCTTCTCACCACCTAGAGCCAGACATCAAATTCTGCCCTAGAAACTGCCCTTAAAGTCTAGCCCTGGTCTTCCTTCTCACAGCCTGTGTTCTTCTCAGCCTTGCCCCCTCCCTTCCTGATTGACGTACCTACCTCCTGTGTATACTTCCCTTCATTCTCCTTCGACCACATTTGTCTTAAAGCCAATTTGGACCAGTTCCTCTCCTCTTTAAAAACTTTCCTTGTTCTCCATTGGCTGTGAAAATGGCCCTCAATCAAGATTGTCCATGTGAATCACCTGCAGCTTCTTCCAGCCTGCGGCAAGTCAGGAACTACTGGTTCAGTTGGTCTGCAGGGAAGGCCAGGCAGCAAGCGGTTCTTAAAGGCTCCTCAGGGGACTCTTAATATGCAGCCAGGGTGATGACCTCCTGCTGGCCTTTGAGATGACCTTCAGCCCCCTCAGAATTGCATCCAAGGCCTCTCAGCAGTCATCTCCTTATCACCTTCTGTAACTCTGGTATTTGCAAGTGCTTTCACTCTGCCTGAATAACTCCTCCTCAGCCTGTATCACTGCTCACATGAAAACCTCTCGGAAGCCTTTCCTGACTTTCTCAAGTACAAGTCCTCACTCGCTTTCACACATAGACTCTGTAATCTCTTTTGTCAATTACCCCTTATATTATAATTACCTATTTAAGCATCGTTTTCCTCTTCCCCACTAGGAAACACTTGAGCCCACAAAACCAGTCATTGCAAAGTTAAAACTCAAATCTGGTTCTCATACCTTAATTATTTTCAGTTATACACAAATGTAACCAAAATGAACATTTCCTTATCCCATCACCCTTAAAAAATTGACTAGTGACTGGAAAAAGCTATCCTGGGATACCTCAGGCCTTGATTGGGCCACTCAATAACAGAGTTAAACAAATAGGTAACACACAGGACTATCTGAAAATGGTTCTATGGAGAGTCGGTGGGGCACCCACTCATCGTTTTGCAGAGGCCTATTTGCCAGCCAAGTTTATTAGGATACCTTATCTTTGCCAACAGGGAATTTTTAAAGCCAGAAGGGATATTATTGCACAGGAATCCAATAACTATTCTGTGAATGGACGTAGCTGCCATTTACAGGAATGTATTATGGGCCTTAATTAGTTCAGTCCTTACAACAATCTGATGAGGTAAGGGTTTTTTACCAGAAGCAAAAAGTTGAGGATCAGAGATAGTAAATATTGTGCCCTGAGTCACATAGCTATTAAGTAGCAGAATCAGGGTTCAAACCATGTTACCATAGAAAATTTGTGATTCTTTCCACTGTACCACACAGCCTGAAGAAACTATAAAGATGTTTTGTTAGTCTAAAAAGAAGTACTCTGCTTTGTAAGTATGCGTTACCAAACTGAGGTTTCATGAGTTACAAATTCTAAAGGATTCTCATCACAGCATTGCGAAGATCTGTGAAACCGTTTTGCTGTATAGAAATAAAGGATTCATTCATAGCACGTAACATAGAGCTCTCTTGTCCTCTTTCCAGATCGTATTTTTGTAACGTCTCTTTCCTTTTAATTTTATTTTTACTCTAGGCTCTAGATTATGAAAAACTACAAAGTTTGCAACTTGGTATCGCCGTCAGAAACAAAGCTGAATTTCACAAATCAATTCTCTCTCTATATACAGTCCAGTCAACCTCACTCATAATCCAAGTAATAAATATGAGGGAAGGACTTATATTCCGTCCTCCTTCCAAGACATTTACTGTCCCAAAAGGCACAAGCAGTAAAAACCTGATCAATTATATCTTGGGATCATATCAAGCCATTGACGAAGACACTGGCAAAGCTGCCTTATTTGTCAAGTGAGATTTTATTTTAATATTTTAGTATTCCTTGAACTTTTTAAAATTTTATTGAAGTTTAGTTGATTTACAATGTTGTGTTAATTTCTGCTGTACAGCAAAGCAACTCAGTTATACATATATAATCTTTTTCATATTCTTTTCCATTATGGTTTATCACAGGATATTGAACATAATTCCCTGTGCTATACAGTAGGACCTTGTTGTTTACCTTGACTAGTTTTAATTTATAAACTATTACAATATAACATCTAAACTATTCTGTGCCAAGGATACAAAGAGATACAAAGCAGCCAGCTCAAGGAACCATATAACTCAAGAAGAGGCATGCTATAAGCAAAGGCAGCATAAGCATAAGTTAAAGTGGAAGCTAAGAAGAGAATGACTTAGCCTGTCTAGAGAGATCAGGAAAAAGTTTCATGGAGACTTTCAGTTGAGCCTTAAAAAAGAGTCGAATTTCACCAGAAGACCGTGGTGCAGTCAGATAGAACAGCACATACAAGACACATATGCCTAAAATAGTAGAGCACCATGCAAAGTAGCTGCTGCCGTATAGAGAACAAGGACACAGGGACTTCCGTGGTGGTGCAGTGGTTAAGAATCCACCTGCCAATGCAGGGGACATGGGTTCGATCCCTGGTCCGGGAAGATCCCACATGCCACGGAGCAACAAAGCCCATGTGCCATAACTATTGTATTCTGCATGCTCTTGGGCCCATGTGCCACAATTACTGAGCCCACGTGCTGCAACTACTGAAGCCTACGCACCTAGAGCCTGTGCTCCACAAGAGAAGCCACCACAATGAGAAGCCCGCGCACCGCAACAAAGAGTAGCCCCCGCTCGCCCCAACTAGAGAAATCCCATGCAGCAACAAAGACACAACGCAGCCAAAAAGAAATTTTAAAATAAAACAATATAATAATCTTCATTAAAAAAAAGAACAAAGACACAGTTATTTTACTGAGCAGAGCAGAAAATTGAAAAACCAGGCTAACATATACTTAAGGACTATGAAATACTGCTTGTCTGTGCTAATATGTTAAGCTTCTGCTGCTTTTATAAAAGTATATTTCATAGTCTTATACTAAGTATAAATAAATATTAATGAGTCATTTTCATTAAATAGGTAACATTCCATGTTTGAAAAAAGAACCTATTGTTGTTTTCTATTACAAAACAGATACATCTTGGAACGTAATGATGGTGGTTTGCTAACTATTGATTCAAACACTGCTCAAATCAAATTTGTCAAAAATACTGTTCGGGATGCTACTGTCATGGTTAACAAGACAATCACAGCTGAGGTTCTGGCCACAGATGGTAAGAAAACTTATTTCATTTTTAGAGAAATGTTACTCCAACTGGCATTTCTTGATGAATAGATGATTGTGATTATTAACATATTACCTTTATCATTAGATGAAGTTAATTATCTTAGGGGCCCTGGGTCTCAAGTCTGAGGTGGCTAAATCCAGGAGAAGACTGAGCATCCCAGCTTCTCACTGGAGTTTGTTGGACCAGTGAATTCTGTGTTGGTCCTATTTTTGGCTGTTGGGGCAGGAATTTCTGGGTTTGAGAAGGTGGATAAAGATTGAGACAGAAAGCTTATCAGGGAAGCTCAGCTCCAATGTGAGGTGCCTTTGTGAGTTACTTACACACAGAGTGAGTTACTTATAGAGACCTCAAGCACTTATGTCATTGAACAATAAAAATCTTTTGAAATGTCTTTAAAATAATACTTACTGACTATGTGTGTTTCCCTAAGTGCAAAATTAATTTATGCTCAAGGCGATCAGCAAACATAAATATAAAACAAAAGAATAAACACCCAAGATCACATTATCTGGGAAAACAGAAAAAAGCACTATGGGAAACAACAGAAATAATTCAGAATCCCACCACTGAGAGATTTTTATTTTATTGTTTTTGATTGTCAGCATTAAAAAATTTTTCTTCAATAAACTTTATATTTTGGGTAATAAAAATAAATCATAGTTTATTCCAAATACTTTGGCTCAAGCTTTAGAAGCAAAAATCTTTCACACGGTCTGGGCTCGTGCAGTAGGATACATTTAAGAAAACTATTATTTTTATGTTGATTTCATTTGTAATCAGTGAATTTATCACCTTATAGGTCTTGGTTCCAAGCATATTAAATTAATAGCCATGCTTCTAAGCAAGACATCTGCCAAGTTGATAAATTTAAATTTGCTCTCAACAAGGTGTGGAAATTGGGTGACATCTTTTTACTTGTGGGACAAACGAATACAATTTCTCATGAGTAGATACGCTAATCTGGCTGCATGTGAGAGAAATTTTAAAGGTTTATTTATTTAGTTATTTTTTGTACAACTTGTGTACATTTCTCTAACACTAAAATGTCACTCTTACAGAAAAAACAGGTGAAACTGCTACAGGCACCATACATGTCCAACTACCTGATTTTAATGTAAATTGTCCAACAATTGTCCTGGAAAAGAAAACAATCTGTAGTTCATCATCTTCCGTGGTTGTCAAAGCTGTATTACTGGACAAGGATGAATATACTGGCTCCTACACATTTTCACAGGACAAGCAAACTACAAAAGTGCCAGAGTGGAAGATCACAAAACTTGATGGTGAGTACTTGTAAAGCTGCTTCCACAAATGAAAGTTGCTGCTCCTTTATTTTTCCAGAAGGTTAAGAGAGAGTTCATTTGGGAGCAGTTCCTTTCCAAGAGTAGTTTTTAAAATTCTTTGTAATGAAGATGAGGTCCTAGCCTCATGAATTTCTTCTCTCTTCAGGAAAGAAAAGGTATGATATAATATAATATTAGCACTATTTAATATTTTCTGCTTTTCATGTGGACTCCGATTTTTGGATATCTTTATATCTTTATCTGTATCTCCACAGCACCCCAAAAAAATAAAAATAAAATGATTAGAGTCAGGCACCTATTTTACTGCAGAGCTGTTTAGGTTTCTAAATACAGCCTTCATGTCTTCAGGCTGTAAACAGACATGAAGCACTGAAGGGGTCAGCCTGCTCAAGGCTGTCACTAGTCTGTCACTAGTCAGGAATCTTGAGAGCATGGTGGACTGAAATTTGTAAACCTATTAGCCAATGGGCAAGAGCTAATCCATCCTTCCTTTTCTCCTAATCTTTATCATGCTAATTTCATATTTCCTCTGTTTTCCAGGAGTCTCACAGAAAAAGCCATTAGACAATAAGAATCTTCTCCCTTTTAGGATCTTATAATGACCAGCAGGCCACTTCAAATCCTCTGTAAATGAACTCACTTATCTCTAGCTCTTTTCTGAACTAATCTTGCTTCCTTTCATGAATGTGCTTACTCTGTGGTACCCTAGTCATAGGGATCTGCCATTGCTAGAGTCACCAAAGGCATCTTGTTCTCCGTGGCCTTCTTTCCTGGGCTCTTACTGATCCTGGTGTAGGGATCTAGCTCCAAACTGTGCATGTAGCCAAATGGGTTTACCAGACACAGGTCCAGTGAAAAGGCTACAAAAGAAACATCATAGAGAGACAGGACCTGGCACTAGGCACACCTGTGTGGGTGAGGGTAGGCAAGGTAGCAGTGGTTGGACTAGGTGGATTGGGCACAGTGTCAAGGGGCATGATGGGGTCAAGAATGATTCAAGGGATACAACCCTACAGCTTATGAGAGCTGCTGCTGGAGCCCACTTAGGAAGGGATAGCATAGCAATGAAGAATGGAGAACGATCATTGCTCATGAGTCAGAGAAGCAACAGGCCTTCACCTCTGGGAATCCCATACAACTGGCATTAGGCTCATGGGACGAGTACTGACAGGAGCAGCTGAAGTAGCAGCAGCCAAAGCAGAAACTCAGTCTTGATAAGTCAGGCACCAAAGCATGGAGTGAAGCGGAAGGGATACATTCAGAGGTCTACACCAGGGTCCAGGGGTTGGTGCAGACGTACAGAAGAGTGGTTAAGTCCCAGAAGAAGGAGGCCTGGGATTTAAATGATGCCCATCTCCCCTCCTCTTTTGGGGGAAAATCAAGATAGGACTGAGGGGCTTCCCTGGTGGCGCAGTGTTTGAGAGTCCACCTGCCGATGCAGGGGACATGGGTTCGTGCCCCGGTCTGGAAGGATCCCACATGCCGCGGAGCGGCTGGGCCCGTGAGCCATGGCCGCTGAGCCTGTGCATCCAGAGCCTGTGCTCCGCAACGGGAGAGGCCACAACAGTGAGAGGCCCGCGTACCGCAAAAAAACGATGCAGGGGACATGGGTTCGTGCCCCGGTCTGGAAGGATCCCACATGCCGCGGAGCGGCTGGGCCCGTGAGCCATGGCCGCTGAGCCTGTGCATCCGGAGCCTGTGCTCCGCAACGGGAGAGGCCACAACAGGGAGAGGCCCGCGTACCACAGGAAAAATATAGGACTGAGTTTTCACGGGGGAGAATAATGGGCCCATCTGGGGCAGACAGGAGGACAGGAGGAAGTACAGCCCCATACACCCACTAATCTCTGAAAGCCCTCATATCTGCTCAAGCCTCACCCTACTATTTGTGACAGTGATGTCTATGGCAACTCTGGTTCTGTTCACCAAAAAGAAAAAAAAAAAACATAGTTTTCAGAACAAGGAGCAAGATACGCTTTGTTCTACTGCTGATTTGTTTGGTTGTTTCCCTTCAGACACCTCCGCAATCCTACAAAGCACGCAGCCGGTATCTCCCGGTGTGTACAGAATCTCACTGGTCATCACGGACAACGAGGGTAATTGGTGCAGGACCCCGGAGAACTTGACTCTGAAAGTCTGTCAGTGTGACAACAGTAACACCTGTATAACTTGGACCCCGACCACAACCCCTTGGACCCCTAATGGAGAGACGCCTGAGAAGCTGGGGCCTGCTGCCATCGGCCTACTGCTCCTCGGTCTTTTGCTGCTGCTGTGTGAGTATGCCGCAGCATCATCCTGCTTGCACTGGGTGTCAGCACATGCAGAGGCCTTCCCGTTGCATGGACAATGCATCTCCGCAGTTGTTTTAGAGGCAAAGCTGAGGGGAAATGGCATTTTCAGGAAGAATCGGAAATGGCATTTTCAGGAAAAATCAGAAATGTTTAAAGCTGACACGTCACCTGCCAACAATCTGTATTTATAATACAGAGAAGCAAGTCGTATATGTTAGACATATAGAAAACAACACGAAAGACTCAAGAAGGAAAAAAATGAAGCATGAATAGTCTACACACTGGCCATGATGTTCATGGTCAAAATAATGACTTTATCCATGAGTGTGGCACTTTCTAAAGTGTCTGTTTTGTATACAAATCTCATGAAATTCTAAAATAAAATAGAACCCTGACCAAATAAATTTAGGGAAAATATATAAGATATCATAAGCCTTGAGCTTTATGATGCACATAAATATATCACAGACTCTGAGAAGTTATTACTTAATCTAGAATTTCCTCAGAATAGCTTTCTACCTGAAAATATACTCCTATAAGGCTCTCATACTTAATATATTAAGTTTATTGAACACATTGAGGGAAATTACATACATGTATTATTTTTCAATAAAACTAAAATTTATTTTTTTAATAGGTAGGTTTCAAAAAGTTACACTTAAATCATGTGAATCAATTAGTATTTTGAATGTAACAAGCCTCTATTTAAAAGAACTTCATGGCAAATTCTTATAGTGTAAATAAAAGAAATCCTTGATAAATTCACAGTCACTTCCCTAATTTATTATAGAACTATAGACATTTAGAGTTAAAATGATTATTCAACCTCTTAATTTAATTTTTTTAAATTTGTGAGATATTTTTAAACCACAAAGAACAGAAAGTTGCCATGACAAGCACAAATATAACCACAACTCAGACTTAACAGATACTAATATTTGCACACATATAATCATATAACATATAACCATCACTCAGACTTAACAGACATTAATATTTGCCATATTTATTCAGATCTCTTTAAAAAAAAGAAATAAATTGCTATCCATACATTTAGTGGCCTCCTACACATGCCATATATTCTCCTTCCTCTTTCCCCTTAAGTGTTTACTATTCTAAAGCTATCATGCATCATTTCATTTAATAGCTGAAACTGAGTTTCAGTTTTCTAATGTCATGATTAGTCAATTTCAAAACCAAAAATTTTTCAAGTACCTATATATGAGTCTTCATATAGATCAATCAAGTTCAATCAATCAAGTTCAGTCAAGATCAATCAAGTTCCCAAGAAAGGGAACTTGATTCTGGTTTTCATGTAGTAGTAGATTTATTCATGTCTAACTCTATGGAAAACATATACCATGATAAAACTGTAATATATATAATAATATAATATAAAATAAAAGTGAACACTAAGGAATATTGCAGAGGTTTCACAGACTCAGGGGAATCATCCATTTGAGCCTTGGGAAATGAGTAGGCTATAGCAAGTACAAAAAGAGGGAAAGGTGTTTCCAAAGGGTAACAGCGTGAGCCAAAGCCAGAAAATGCTTGGCAGGTTTTAGGAAGCACACAGCCTTGGGAGGTTAAAGCAAGGGGAAATTGTGGAGAGTGAAGGAGATGAAACTGGAGAACGCTTTGGGACTAGTTTGAAAGAGCTTACACACACATGGAAAGGAAGGTTGCTGAGAGTATTTGAATAAAAGACTAACACGATCATATTTGTATTTTAGAAAGATAACATTGGCACAGTGTGTACTGTAAATTAAAAAGGAAAGAACAGTTAGGAGGTTATTGTAATAGTTCACAAGGAATGATAGAGGCCAGGTTTTGAGCCATGGCATAAGACTGGAAAGGAAAGGATTGATGTGCAAGGCACGATGCGGGTACATGGAGAGGATCTGGAGACAAATAGATAGGAAGAGTGGAACAGAAGTCCATAGGCACCACTGAATTCGGCTGCTACTGAAACCATTAACTGAAATTGAAAATATCAGAGGAAGCACAGATAAGTAGGGTGGCAATGATAAGTCTGATTTTGAAATGTTGAATTTTGAGGTATGCATATATCCTCTAGGCTACTGTACATTTGGGATTGTGGTTCAGGATGACAGTCAGAGGTAATATACTCTGTTATTCCTACAATTACATTTGCTTCATGTGAAATATCACCATTTACAAAATGTCGTATCTTGAATTTTGTGCAGGACAGAACTTTCTCTGGATGCATATGTAAAAACCTAATACATATTGCACACACAATGATAAACAAGATTTCTAAAAGACTATTATGGCCACCTAAAAATTCTGACCATACAGATATATATTCATCACTTTTCAAAACTAATTTGTCCATTTATAATATTCATCCCTTCCCACACATTTAACAAAGTCATAGAATTAAGAATGGCAATAAGCAAAGAAAACCTTTAGAAGTATCACTTATATGAACATTATGTTAAATTTTGAGAAAATGTATTATGTCCAACTTATTTTATTTTATATACTTGGCCTAATTTTTTTCATTTATGTATATATAAAATATATAAAACTGACCTAATTTGTACAACTGATGTAGCCCATCCAAACAATACTGTCAAGTCCTCATGGCACTCAGTACCATCCTTTATCTATATTATCTCATTTAATCCTCACAACAATCTATGAGGTAGATACTATATATTCTCCCATTCTTTGGATCAGTTAATGGAGGCAAGAAAAGATGACATAATTTGTCCAGCTGGTGAATGGTGGAACCAAAACTCAAACCCTAGAAGTCTGACTCCAGAGGCTATATACTCTTAAATCTCTCAGTAAGCTGCCAGTAAGTGAACAGAATTCAAACATTAGGATTCAGGTGGCCTCAGCAGGCCAAAGGTGGAGGTGCCGTCACTGACTACCTAGACTGAGAAGTGCCTCCATTCTCTCTTGGCCCATTAGCCTGAGAATGATGTTAATCTTTATTGCTAAGATTTGACTGATACACACAGAAAGAATGGTAATTACCCAGGCAGGAAGGCTCCTCCAAGTTATGAATTCCTAAGTCACAATTAAGAGTGCAATGATATTAGATCATCACTCTAGTTGCTGAGGGAGTTTGCAAGTTAATGGCTATTCTCTAAGAGATCATTAGAGACCAGATTACCAAATCACTATAATGCCCACCTAAAATCTTGACTCTTCAGGTGTGTATTCACTTGACACCATATACATAGCCTCAACATGTACAAATAAATGCAATAATAAAAAAAATATATTATGGAAAATGATTGAGGAACTGAATGGCCACCTTTGTCATTCATCGAACAGTGCCTATTTTAAGAAAACAATATACGTGTCTCAAGAATAACCCGATCTGTCTCCTTCAGTTTCCTAATCATGTGAAATTTTAGTATGCTTAATTTACTAAATTTTATTTTGTAGAAATGAACTTTGCTTTCTATTAGATTATCCATAAGCGTTAAAAAATATTGTATTTTCTTTGTAATGTTTCTGACAATTGCCATGTCAAATTGTTTCCAAGTGATTCAAATGTTCTGATATTTTGTTTTCCTGTGTACTAGTGGTCCCCCTTCTGCTGCTGACCTGTTACTTTGGGACCGGTCCTATCGGGGGAGTGACCAGTGGATTCATGCCAGTGCCTGATGGTTCAGAAGGAACAATTCGTCCGTGGGGAATCGAAGGAGCCCAACCTGAAGACAAGGTGAGGATACACTTTGTATAACATTTATTTCAATCATGCAGAACAAAATTCGATTTATATTCATATAGATAAAGAGGTAATGGGGTATAAAAATGATACTCCTGACTCTCAAGGACCCATGAGAGTCAGGACTAAAATGAATGGAGCCTTTTAGGATCTTAGCTCTTCAGATGTCAAATCATAAAAGTGGTTATTCCTGGAAGAATTTGGAATTCTTGTAATGTCTCCATTTGCATATCTTATATTGGTGAAATCTGGGTCATTTTTTAATGTATTTATTTTTTGCATATGGTTTGTAGGAAATCGCAAATATCTATGTGCCACCTATAACTGCCAATGGAGTTGATTTCATGGAAAATTCTGGTAAGTGAACATAAAATTTATTTTTGAAAGCAATAATGGGTTAAATAAGAACTACTGAAAGATAAGAAATGTTCTAAATTCTTTTCTTAATAATTTGCATATTTGTGCACATACTGAGAGATGTTACCCCTGAAATAGGGTTTCAATGAAATGGTTTACTGTTAGTATATCAGTCAATTCTGTGACCTAGCTCTGGCTTCAATAAGTTCATTTGTCCACTGATGTCACCATGTTTTACTAGCTGAAGATTTGTTATACTTTTCCAAACTTTAATAAACTGAAGTAGAACTCTCAGGGGGTCAATTATTAATTTTTTAATAAGCAAAGATTTCACACATATAGAAAAATGTAAAGGAAAATATAACAAACACTATGTACTCACCACCCAACTTTGTCTATCAACATTAGTAATATTTGCAGTTAAAGCCTCATGTGTGCACATCCTAGGTCTTGTTGCCCTTCTTCATTCCCCAGAGCTAACAGGATCCTGATTTGAGTTCAATTACCAATTCTTATATTTAATCATAATGGGACAAGTATTGCTTATTTGTCATATAGGTGAAATTATTTATTTCTTTGGTTTACCAAATGACTATTTTATTCATCTTATCTCAACGCTACAACTAAGGTGTAAACTAGAACCATAAGACCTAATGCCTAATATTCAATTTTTTCTTAATTCCATGCTTAGCAATAGATTGTTTTTAAATGTCCAGCCTGAAAAATCCGCATAAGATCTCCCCCAAAAAGGTAACTGTCTTTATCAGCTACCTTAATCCTTAATCCTTACCTGCTTCTCCCATTATAATTACATAGCAAAAACTATATTCAGAATTCTCTAGAAAAAATAGCTTTCCATGAAAATGCAATGTAAAAGTAACAGGCAAAAGAGTCACAGCTTATTAAATTTTCATTAAGCACCAAGACACCAAATTAGCATCTGCTAATTTGCATGATTACATTATGTATGTTTCCTCTTTGGTTTCCATATTGAGCCAATATGACAGCTTAATTATAATTTCTTTTTTCCTGAAAACAAACAAGCATTACATTAGAAGCTTTCCATTGCTCTGTGCTGAATATTCTGTTTTTACTTTTCCATTTCTGGCCGTTATCACTGAAAATCTATTTCCTTTGTATATTTTTTCAATCAGCATGTTTTCAGAGCTATTTCATCTGCTAATATCCTCTGTTACGTCCTCACCTCCTCTGTTACTCTCACGTAACAGACTGCAGGATGTTCTTATCACCTCGAGTCATAAAATTGTATTTTCTCCCACATACTTGCTTTACTTGGCAACTGCTCACGGGTATCAAAGACCAGGAAAAAAAACAAAACAAAACAAATCACAGCATGAGATGTTATCGAATTTTCTCCTATTTTTAGAAGTTTTTACAAATACATACGCTGGAGGGACGGTGATGGAAGGAGCTTCGGGAATGGAAGTGACCACCAGGCTTGGAGCAGCTGCAGGATCTGGAGCAGCTGCAAGATCTGGAGCAGCTGCAGGATCTGGAGCCGCCGCAGGATCTGGAGCCGCTTCAGAATTCGGAGCAGCCGCTGGACTTAGCAACTATTCCGCAGGACAGTCCGGAACGATGAGAACAAGGCATTCCATGGAAGGAACCAACATGGACTATGGTGAAGGGGCAATAAACATGAACTTCCTAGACTCCTACTTTTCTCAGGTAATTTGGTGGAAAACTTTGTGGCTTTGTTATCTTGTTTACATTAGAGATCTTTCTACTTGACTCTACTTCAGTTTTACAGATCGTTCGTTTGCAGCTTGGTGAAATACAAGCAAAAAAAGTAGAGGCTCCTTGTAAAATAATACAGATAACCTAAGATGGCTGCCAAAATCCGGCTACTGGTCAAAAGGAAGAAGGGGCCGGTAGACATAAGATGAGAGAATATGGCACCTCATTCCTCCAACTGGAATAACAACAGAAAGCAAAACCTTTTGCATTTCAGATCAGCAGCATCCTCTTTAGGAATACAAAGCAGCTTATTTTCTATTTCCAATACCATGAAGTATGTCATAATACATCTGCAAACATTTTTCTGAGAGGGTTAGAATATTCTTCACATTGTCAAGGAGTCCATGTCCAAAAATGTTGAAGAACCATTGAATTAATGACCCAAACATAAAAGGGGGAACGAGGGCTGTGGTCCAAGATTAGGTGAAGTGTCAGGAAGCATAGAATCAAAATGGGACAAGGGTGCAAGAACAGAGAGGACTTTGGGAGGCAGGTTGCTTGCCTCTTGGTTGGTGCATCTTTAGAATGGATCTCACCTACAGTTTCGGTATCAGAACTGGCAAGTGCTGGCATCTAGCCTGGTAGAGCAGATGAAGGCTGACTGTGTGTGAGGAGAGACTGGCAGGAAGGGCTTGTTTAGGATGAGGATTCTTGGAATATTCCAAGGTGTGGCATAGGCCCTATTTACGGGTCAGGCTCTCACAAGATTGCTGATACAGAGGATTCCCTTCTATGGATTACCTAAATCATGCATTCTTGATCAAACCTTGAGTTCTAAGAATAGTATAATATTACATTCTTCCACTGAGTGTCTCTTACGATACATTTTTTTCCACTTTTCTCCACCTTTAGAAAGCATTTGCCTGTGCCGAGGAAGACGATGGCCAGGAAGCAAACGATTGCTTGCTGATCTATGATAACGAAGGAACAGGTGGCCCTGGTTCTCCCATCGGCTCCCTGGGTTGTTGCAGTTTTATTGCTGATGAGTTTGATGACAGCTGCTTGGACTCACTCAGTCCCAAATTTAAAAAACTTGCAGAGATAAGCCTTGGGATGGATGATGAAGCCAAAAACTCTCAGCCACCCACCAAAGAGAGTGGTTCTGGGATTGAATCCCGTGGCCAATCCGTACAAGTCCAACAGTCAGAATCTGTAAGGTACCAGATTTTGCCAGGCAGCCAGGGACCGTCTGCTTTGTCTGCTTCTGGCTCTGTCCTCCAGCCAGCCATTTCCATCCCTAACCCTTTGCAGCATGGTAGCTATTTGGTAATGGAGACTAGCTCAGCTGCTGGTTCCTACATGCAGCCTTCCACTGCAGTCTTTGATCCACTTCTCACATAAAATGTAATAGTGACGGAAAGAGT